GCATGTACATGCTTTGGGATAAATGTCAAATCTAAAGATATATATATATATATATATACACAAACATACAAATTTATATATATATATATATTTTCTGTTATTCCTATATGAAACATTTTGAATAGTTCAAAAACTATTTCATTTAGAATATTTAACTGTTGTACATTTATTACTTCATTGTAATCCTTATTGTTTACCATGTGGATAAGTGCAAAATACACACACTCTGATGTAGATTATTTCCCCCTAATCTACTGTTGAAGTTATGTTTCAGATTAATTCCTTTGCATGTCAAAAAAAATGTTGAACTGAAACCATAAGGTTTGAATATAATTTTAATACTATATTACAGAATTGAAGACAAACAAGATAATTGTACATTTCACAAATACATCTTCAGATACAGACTGAAATGTTTTGTAACAGGGTTTATATATATGTTTAGAACTTTTTCTAAATGACCAAATTAACTTAAACTCATCCACACTTCTTACCCCACTTGTCTCTAGGTGAATGTCAAGATCACTTCCAATTCTTTGTTGAAACATATGTATAAACCTCGTTACAAAACATTTGAATCGGTACCTGATGATGCCTTTACTGGCAAAACCATGGTCGTGAATAAATGCTGTATTTGTGAAATGTACAATTGTCTTGTTTTCCTCAATTTTGTAATTATGGAGTTTCACCAAGTACCTATGGTTTCAAGTATCAATTATTTCATACTAAAAGTCTTACAAATATGAATGTATTTTATTTATAAATAATAATTACATGTAAAACTAATATTAATCACAAACATAATATACCATTATTATTGAATAAAAGTGTCTTGACATACCAGTTGCCAGAAAAAGTTTTGAAACCTAGTCAAAGCTACTAATGGATTACAAAAGTTTTCTACAGAATTGAGAATTTGTTTGATAACTTATTACGACTTAACTAGTGTTTTTTGTTCTGAATGTCTCAGTTTTTGGAATAAGTGAATATTAAAAGAAATACCATTTAAAATTTTTTTTAAAGTTATGAAAATCTAGGTATAAAATTTGTCATTTTATAATTTTTTACATTTGTAACTAGAGCTGATTGATGATCAAACCATGCTAAAACTTGCTTCAATTTCTCAAACACATTATATTGTAGCTGCATTTTTTCATAAAAGATCATTTAAATCTGTAAGTTTATATTCAGTATTTTGGAGTTTAGATTCAACTTTGTTGTGTTTTTTTTTTTTCATTATTACTTTCTGATTTTTTGTTGTAAATACTGACAATGAAAATAAAATAGACTACACAGATCTGCATTTACTATGTTAATTAGTCATCTTCCAATTCTACTGACAAATTTTCTGATTTTAGTGTTTTGACATGAACAATATTTCTTGCTTTATTAAAGAATTCTGATTTTCTTTTTTTATACTTAGACTTTCACTGCATGGTGTAACTCCCACCTTCGCAAAGCTGGAACTCAAATTCAAAATATTGAAGAAGATTTTCGAAATGGTTTGAAACTTATGTTGTTGTTAGAGGTAATATCTGGAGAAACATTGCCCCGGCCAGACAAAGGAAAAATGAGGTTTCACAAAATAGCTAATGTCAACAAGGCTCTTGATTTTATAGCCAGCAAAGGAGTTAAACTTGTGTCCATTGGAGCAGAAGGTATATCCATAATTACTTGTATATTTTTTCATAGTTTTTGTCATGAAATAGTAACTTTAAAAATGAAAGAAAAGAAAAATATTTTTCATGCATATATATGCTTAGTATTTAAGACTGACATTTTTTCAGTTATTTTTACCCAAAAGATTCCCATCTGATGTTTATCTGCTAGAATGATTATGGTATTGGGCAGATGCGGCCACCAGAAGGCAATTTTCAAGATAATAGGGTATTATGTAACCATAAATATGATGAAGTGTTGTACATTGTGTTACAATTGTACCTTCAGAAATTTTTGCAAACAGCTATATTAATGTTATTGTGACATGTGTACAGTTAAATAAAATGATTATTAGATAATTTAAGAGAACTGTAACTTTCAAACAGTTAAAATTTAAAATGAAAACATTGTCATTGAAAAAAAAATTGAAAGATCTTATAAAAAAAATTCCCAGAACTGTGGTTCCTTCTTAAGTTTTCTGAACTTCCAATTAGTTTTTTTTTGTCCATCCCTGCAGAGTTCTGTTTAGCTACTTTTCCACAAAACCATAGATTCAAATCATTTTAGTTATTTTACAGTGACATAAAGAGTTTATATTATTTTCAAAGAAGTACTTCATTGGTAATTGTTCAGGCCACATAATTTGACATCACAAAAGTGGGAACAAAGCCTGTAGTAATATAATTACTAACAGAGAAGGAAAATTGCATGAGAAACAAGGCATGAACAATTACGTTTTCCTTAGCAAATATAAATATATACCTTGAGATAGGCAGAAAAAATCTTAAAAATGTATAAGTATATTATTTACAGGTGGAACTCCTTGTAACTATGTAGAAATGAAAGTTTGAACATTTAAAAAATTTTCTTTGAAAAATTACAAAATATCAATCCTGAAATTTTTAAGTTTAAAATTACTATACATGTTGTCATATGCATTTTTCAGAAATGTGTGCATTTGCAGTATCCAATAATTAAAACATAAATGCAACCCCTGGCAAATTAGGCCTAATGTAGACAACTGTTGAAAAAAAGTTAATAAATGCAGGATTCATGATAATCATACATACTTGTGCCTGATAAAGCTAGTAAAATCATATAGCGAACTTTGTTGAACTTATAGAAGCATGCATCCAGTTAAAACATGCTTTTAACCCTAGTGCTGATAGACACATGCATCCATTTATAGTAAACTAGTAGAAAAGCATATTTAATTCTGTTAAAGTATTGTAGGGTTTATAAATTTAGCAGCTGATCAAAAGTCTATATTCAAAAGCACACAGACCATCAAAGAGTAACATTTCAGGCTGTCTTGTTATCTTCTAATTGGTTATAAAGAAAATGCTAAAAAAATTTAGCTCATTAAAACATTCATCTAATTGCACGAAATTAGTTACTCCTCAGTTCATACAAACTTTAGAATGTTATGAAATGAAACCTTCTTGAGAACTTTAATAACAGTTCACAGCTGTAAACCAACACATTTACATGTGCTGCTGGACTTCATAGATGAACTATATCCTAGAAGTTGTGAATGCAAGGTTTTGGCTCTCTCATTGCTTTGAGCTTTGAAATTCAGGTGAAGAACAATAGAAAATGGTAATGTATAGCAGTGAATCCCATTACCCAGTATTTGTTTAAAAGGTCCAGATCAGGGTATGACGGCTACCTGAAAAATGTTATACAAATTATTGTATTGTCCTGTCTGTGAACAGTAGTAATGTCAGTTTAACAGGGTTGTCTATTTCTAACAGCTGTAGGAGCTATGATATACCTTGTGGTACCTTCCTATATTCCATAGTATGTCCAGCACCAGTTTGAGATAGATAACATCCAGAATCTGCTTAAGCCATCTAAAAACCTTAACCCGATTAAAAAAAACATTTTGGAATCACTTGAAACTCCACTCAAGGGGCAGAAGCAACAGACCTCAAAGTTTCACCACATTTGGAGTTGCATTCCAATTAGAGTGTTAATAACAGAGTTTAGTTTGGATTATTACTATAAATGGGCCCACTTCATATTAAAATGGGGTTCCAGCAGTGAAACTTAGCATCCTTATTTTAAGTTTGTGCTGCCACATTATTTTGACAATATGTATCACATTTTTGTTTTTTCTTTTCAGAAATTGTGGATGGAAATGTCAAAATGACGTTGGGACTTATCTGGACAATCATTCTTCGGTTTGCTATTCAAGACATATCAGTTGAAGGTTTGATTATCTGTGGTATAATCCTGATACTTTTTATTTACAAACATACAATGAGTTAGTTTACATATTTATACATACATATTAGCAGCATGATAATGTATTCTTAGTTTACAAGTTCGTCATACTTTAAGTTATTTGTTAAATATTACAACCAGAAAATATAAAGAAATGGTTAAAATTGCAAAGAAAAAATAATAATTATTGGTCAAAGGACCATCATCAACACTTGATGAAGGTTGTATTACAGGAATATTGACCACTTAGTTATTTTCCTTACATTAATTTTAGTCATTTCTCTGTATTTTCAGATTTTATGCATTGTTTGTTTGTTTGTTATTTTTTTTAAGCATTTTATCAGTTTTGTTTCAGCAAAGATTATTTTAATTGTACAATTGTAATCATTATTGCTCATAATGTCATAAAAAATAATGTTTTTTTTTCCCTTTCAGAAATGACAGCTAAAGAAGGCTTACTCCTGTGGTGCCAGCGAAAAACAGCTCCGTATAGAAATGTAAATGTTCAGAATTTTCATTTGAGGTATGAAAGAAAGAAAAAAATTCTATAATGTTTTTAAGAAGATATGGTTGTTAAAAGCTCTGATTCCTAAACATTCATATTGTTTTTAACAATTATTTAGCTAATACAGAACTATTTAGTTTTAAAGTTAGTAAGTTAAAAAAAAAAGTCAAGAATTCCATACCTCCTGTCTAGAGTTTCTATACATTAGACTATACCAATGGATGTGCCAACAATATCAGAAATTTTTTGTTTAACTCTTTCAGCATGGGCTTGGTCCCTAGGGCTGACCCTGTAACCATTTTGTCCTTGTTATAATTTTCATGCTATAACTTTTAAATCAATAAGCATATGTTAATGAAATTTGGCAGATTATCAGTAAACATTATAGTGCTTTCATACGCAAGATATAAATTTTTTTTTTATTAAGTCTTAAGGTTTATAAAGCAATGTTTTTCTCACACCATTTTTTTTTCTTTTTGCATGTTGTCTATCCAACATGCAAAGTAATTTTAAGTTTAAAAATACTTTTGTGCATCAGAAAACTTTGAAATTTCACATATGAAATTTGTATAATGTCCAGTTAGTTATCATATGATTTTTAAGAAAAAACTTTGTTTTATCTGTTATTTTCAGTAACGAATCTGTACGGGTTTGGTCATTTTGACTGATCTCGTAATCACGTTATAAAAATTAAGAAATAAATATAAATTATGCCTTTTTCGTTATAGAATGACTACAAATTATAACATGAAAACATAAATGTTTAGACTAAATAGCATATATCTCATAACATTATACATTTATATATATATTTATTATATTGACCTTTCAGCCATGCCTGACAAACAATACAGAAGTTATGATGATGTGGTGCATGTGCACTCATGTTACCATATCCAATAATATAAAACTGGCGTTTAGTCTTTACAAAGCGTCTTGTCTTGGCTGTGTTTTAGTAGACTAGTATGTTGTAAAATACAGTCACATTTCAATTATTATACGTTATATATGTATATACATTATTTTTATTTAGAAATAAGTACTTAAACTTATTTTTCTTAAAATATAGAACAGTAAATACAGAAGTAAAGCAAACAATTATCTCTTCTTGTTACGACTTTTGTACTCGATTAATGCTTGACTTAAGCCCTTTAAGATTTTGCCCGTGGAGGATATGAAACAAAATAATTTTTTAGGTTTTATATATACAGTTGAATTACCAAAAAATCATAAATTACACTATCAGTACCATATAATTCTGCTATAATTTATCCAGCTTAGTAACTAAGCTGTATATCAGTCTAAAAAAATATAATAATATGTCAAAATGGCTGAGAAAACCACTAGGGGGACATTCTAAGCTGTTGATTGGTTATTCATGTTATATATAGAAGTAAGTGTATACAAGGTACCATTTCCAAAAATGGAAAGAGGTGGGCAGGTGGTTACTGTTTGATTCAGTACAGGAGTGATAT